TGTGTGTGTGTGTGTGTGTGTGTGTGTGTGTGTGTGCAGGCGCACACACTCCTAAGTATGACCAAAAGCCATTTCTTAATAGATTTAAGTGGCCAAAGGACCACTCAAAAGAATTGCAAACTATTAACAGAGTTCTCAAAGGAACTGCAAATTATTAACAATCCTATGAAAGAATATTCCAAATCGCTAATAAGAGAAATGCAAATCAAAACAACCCTGAGGTCTCACCTCAAGGACAGGAAGAATCTGTGTGTATGTGTATATATGGGTGTGTTTGTGTGTGTGTGTGTGTGTGTGTGTGTGTGGATGTTATGGGAAAATAAGCATACTAGTATGCTGTTGGTGGAGCTGTGACTCAGTACAATCATTATGGAAAATAATTTAGAATTTTGCAAATACAGTGACTAAAATGTTCATACCCTTGATCAAGAGATTCTACTACTACGCTTATACCCCAAGGAGACCACTGATAAGCAGAAAATCCCCATATAAACCAAAATATTTATAGCAGTACTTTTTGTGACAGGAATAAACTGGAAATAAAGTAGATGCCAATCAACTGGGGAATGGCTAAATAAATTGTGGTACATGAATGTAATGGAACACTACCACTCTAGAAATGACGAGTGTGATAAATACAGAGAAACATGGAAAGATCTACATGAACTGATGCAGAGCAAAGTAAGCAAAGCTAAGAAGACAATATACACAATGACTACAACAATGTAAATGGAAAGAATAACCACAAAAAAAAATCAAAAGTGAATATTGCAAAATTACAAAGAACAAGCACTGCTCAAAGAATAGATATGATAAGACATCTCTAACTCCACCCCACCCCACTCCTTACAGAGGACGAAGGGAGATTCGGGGGTGTGGCACACTGAACATATTTTCAGATTTTTCTGATGTACTAATCAGTTATACTAATTATCTTCCTGTTCTTTTTCTTCCTTTTTGTCTTTAAAAAACATTGTTATATGGGATGGCTCTCAGTGGGGAAAGAGTACTTGAGAAAATTATGGTGATATTTTTTAAATGACATCAATAAAACTGTATTAAAAAAAAAAGAAAGAAATAGTCCTTCCTAAGAATATACCATGCCTACTTCAGGTGCCACAGAACTGGAATTTAGAAACTACTATCCCAAATTTTTAAAAAGGGAAGGAAATGGAATCTGAAAACTATATTTCTACTCCTAGAAAATTCTAGAACGTCTCCTTAAAGGGATGGATTGGGATCCTAAGAAAAGGTATGAGTCATCACTAAGATGATGAAGAGGATTTCCTCAAGAATTGGTCATGCCAAAATAAATTAATTTTTAAAAAAAGCAACCCACATATCATGCCCCCATCTTGACATTCACTTCTTTCCTGTATTGTGTTCACCATCGAGATTCTAAGGACATACTATCCATCGTAGGGACTTACCTGTACTGGGTCTGTGACAGTGACAGCCACCAGGGCTCGCTGACGCAACATCTCAAACCCCTCCATACAGGTCTTCTCCTCCAGATGGAGCAGCACCTTGGCTAATTCTGTACTCACCTGCTCAGAGTACACAAAGATATCAGAATTGCCCGCTGTCTACTCTAGGAGATCCCTTTCTCTTCTGCCTCTTGGGCCAATGAAAACGGATAAGCCCTGGAAACCTCGTGGTAGCAGACTGCTCTCAGTGTGACATGCCCTATGGACCTTTACATTGTCTAGCCTTGACCAAAAATAAATAAATAAATAAAGGAATGGAACTTGGATTCGAGCAACTTTTCCTTCCTTGCTCTGCAGTGAGGGGAAAGGGGATGCTCTACTGGCTCCCCAAGCCACGCTGCTCATGTGCTGTTTCCAGTGACTGCTTCTCTGTCCTGTTCTTCAAGGGGCTGATGAAGGGAGAGCACAGAGGAGTCCATGGCAGAGAACCTAAAACTGAATGTGGCAGAAACAGAAGCCAGATCCAAATGTCCTTGTTCCAAGCTAACTCTGATTCTTCTACTGTCTCCATATCACCGTGCTGACATCCAAATGGGGCTTCAAATATCCTGCTTTGTACCTTCTCCACTGTCAGTACGTCATCCACACTGGGAAATCTGACTGCCCCTCGCCTCAAGTGGGAGGGTCACTGTCACCAAGACAGCCCTACCTCTTTTGTTGCTGCTGGGTTCCTCTTGATTAAGCTCTCCAGAACCTGCAGCGTCACTTCCCAGCGCTCCACGTCCTCTGAGCTTGTCAGTGCTGCATTAAACCAAAACAGCACACACACTGAGATATGCTGCTCTCAGCCCCAATGCACCCATCAGAGTCTGTAAAGACAAGCTGTGGGAACTGGATTCCCTTCCATACCTCTAAGGGCATGGTCCCACCTAAGCAAAGGAAGGATCTTACTGCTCAGTGGCACAAAACAGTTCCCCCAAACCAGGAAAGGCCCTAGAAGTGGGGAAGTTTACTAAGGAGCCAGTTACTTGAACACAAAGGATCAATATCATCCCAGTTATTCCAAATTAGCGCTAAGGAAGAAAAGGGAGAAATAAGTCTTACACAGGGCCCACATGCCAGAGACACTAAGAGCCAAGCAAAATTGACAGGTAGGAAGAGGAAGAAACCTATGGGGTGGGTGAGGCACAGATACAGAGGATGGAGAAAGCAAACCCTATACATAGGGAGCTCTGCCTGACCATCAGAGAAAGAGAGTCCTACAATTAAGTCAATGTAGGATACTGTGTCCACTCTAAACACATCATCTCACTGTCAGTCAAAGGCAGCATCAGGGGAAAAGGCTGAGGACAGAACTAAAGGGGAACAGCTGCCACAGGCTGGACAAGTAACCCCACAGAAACCTCCAACCTTCCAGGCAATCCCGGATGTACACTGGAGCCTTGGTGTTCTTCAGCTCTTTGTCCCTTGACATGTCATATGGAACAAATTCATCATCACTGGCAAAGAAAAATCAAGGGAGAAAATAAACAAGTACTCTGGAAGTCACATCTCTTATCTCCATTACCAGCCAACAGACGAAGTCAAGGAACGCTACACAGCTATGCGGACACACTCACTCACCACTGCTTTCGTCATCGCAGCCCATGGCTCTCTGCCTTTTTCCCACTATATGACTCTCATAAGGGTTTTCTATACGGTCCACTGACCTGTCCTTAAGGTGGGTCGTTCCACCATATGTTCCCTGGCAGCAATATGGATACGTTACCTGTCCAGATCCGAGTCAGACCCCTTGTCTTTTTCTTCTTGGTGTGCTTTGCCCTCTGGGCTCAGACAGGCTGGCTGGACTGCAGGTGCTGGCACAACAGGGGAGCTTGGTGAATCCACGTGAGCAACAAAAACAAGAAAAGCAGATCAGTCGTGCATCTAGTGCAGGTCTCCCTCCCTCTGGGGTAATGATCTAAGTTCCCTATGAGAAAGGGTCTCACTTCCTCCTGTTTATTCCACCCACACTCCCATGTTAAATGTCCATGCTGAAAATACTACTTCAAAGAAAGAATACTTTCTAAAATAAACAGGATAACATGTTAACTGGAACACATACACCGAACAAAGAGGCATGGAAATGAGTTACCCAGAAGCTGGAGGGCTGGCATCATCAGGCTTCAAGTTCACCAAGGACAACAATTCTCTGGTCAGTTTATTTTCTTCGTACTATAATAATAATGATGGTGATATTAGCAGCTAACATTTACATGATGCCTTACGTACATTATCTCCTTTTGTCCTCACAACAACTCTGGGAGGTAAGTGCTATTGCTGTCCTCATCTTACAGATGAAGAAATTGTGGCAGAGGTGAAGTGACTTGCCCAGGGTCATACACCTAGTACATGTCTGAGACTGGATTTGAACTCAAGCCTTCCTGACTCCAGGTCCAGTGATGTGCCTACTACACCACCAAGTGGCCTGGGTTAGGTTTAAATGACTTCATTCAACAAAACTACAGCTACAGTATTCTTGGGGGTGAATCATTCAGAAAGAAAGTGAAGCCAGAACAAAGTCTAAGCAGTTCTTTCCCTCAGATTCATTTAGCCTTTAGGAAGAGACCTCATTACAGCTTGGTCTCATTGGTAACCCCACTGCATGATGCCGACCCCACAGATCACATTATAGTGAGTTCCCTATGTACCATGGAACAGGACTTGGTTTTAAGGCCACTAAATACTTTAGCTAAGGCGAGGTCCCTTGATGGTGATGACTCAACAAGCCTGGAGTCTTAGAACTTCTCATGTGTGATCCAGACCCAGCCCCAGGTTCAGGGCCTCCCCCACTCCCCCACTCCACACATTTGCTCACTTGTTTCCCATCTGTTCTCCACTGACTGGCCTAGACCATAGCAAGTCATGAATAGAAAAAACAAATCCACAGGCACTCAATGACCTCTGCCAATGATACTGCTTCCTCTGTGCAGAGAGAAGAAAACTGCCAACATCCAGAGAAGTAATTCTAGGAAGGATTATGACACAGCGGAAAAAGCAAAAGCTTGGGAGTCAGGAGAACTGGGTTCTTGGCTGACCCTAAATAGCTGGGTGACGTTGGGACAAGTCATTCTCCTCTTTTACCTTCAGCAACCTCATGTCACTTGGAAAAAATAAGGCCTTTTCTGCCTACCTTACAGGGTTGAGATGAGTATAAACTAAGAAAAAAAACTTTGAAAAAGATATAAGTGTTATAGAAATGTAAGGCATCAACATTATTGTTATTTGCTGGGCTGGAATATACAGTAAAATGAACAATCACATTATGCTGCAATAAAAAACACTAAGAATGAAGGGACTGCCCTCACCCCTCTCACCTGGAATTTCAGGTGGGGCCCCTCTGAGTGGATTCGGGAACTGATAGTCTCTGCTACAATCATTCCTACATGTCGGACTTGGGGCAGACTACTCTCAATATGGCACTGCACGCCTCCCATCATGGCGGTCAGCAGCTCTGAAATGAAAGCAGGACAGAACAAAAGGAGCTGCACTCCATACTTCCTATGCCAAACATCTCCCCTGATGCCACAAACAAAACAAGTCAGCTGTCCCCTTTTTTCAGGTCAGCTGGAGTTGTTCCCCCCACTATCACTCATATACTAAATGAGGCCTGCACTCAGCCCTGCTCCCTCACCTTCCCTGATGTGGTCTATTTCTGACTCCTTCAGGTGGGACAAGCAGATCAGGATGGCTTTGCTGACATAAAGCTGCTGCTCCACTGGAGAGTGTTTGACGGCACTGCTGCTGCCCCAAGTCTCTAAGAGGTCCTTCAGCACCTGGTCCATGTGGGCATGGGGTCAGATGTGATCTCTGACATCCAACCATCCTTTTGTTCCTCTCATAAGACACAGTCTCATGTAAATACAAACAAACAAACACACACACACACACACACACACACACACACTCTGAGAATATCAAACTAGAAAAAAAGGACAGTCTCAGCTTTGTTCACTGGAAAGAGATTAAATATGAAGAACAGAAGCTAATAAGCCAGCTAGCAGCTGGACAAGAAGTAACAGCTTTGTTCCACTGGGGCAGATGTGCACAAATTGTCTTCCTCTTCCTTCCGTGCTTCTGCCCAAATGGACCTGACCACTCTCAGACAAATGACTTTCCTCAGAAAAACTGGTTTTCCCTGTGCATTGTGCGTTACATGTCTCTTGAAGAGCTGCCCTGCTAATGCCCAAAAAGGAATGAAAAGGGAATTAACAACAGTTACCTGTAAGAGGAGGGTGCGCCGATAGCTGTCCAAGGCCAGGTACCCCAGGAGGTTTTGCAGCACTTCAGTCTGCAACAAAGTCACATGGGTCCTTTCTAACAAAAAATTCCAGGACTTCAGCCCCACCCATGTCTACAGAGGCCTGAAGGCTAACTTATCACATATGCAGGCACACAGAATCAAGTGCCTATCATACCTATACCTGTCTAGAAATGGGTTTAATGTAATGGATGAAACATCAAAAATGCAGGACTCTAGACTCAATTCTGCCAATGACTCTTTTGGTAAATCACTTCCTCAACAAATGAAAAAAGACTTCTCCATCTACTCTTGGATCATCAACTACCTTAAAACCACTTGTTTAATCCTCTTGGTCCTCTCTCCCCACAGGAGGAAAAGAAGATTCTCTATTTCTCATTACATTCACGTCATATCTTGTCTATGTACAACTGGTCTCAACATCAAAATAAAAGGAAGGTCCCCAGCACACTGGATAGCCTACTTATGGAGAAGTTATGAAAGGATATAGACAAGAGGCTCACAGGATGGACAGGCATGAATGGATGACTCTTGGTGTCACTGGAGGAAACATCCAAATTGAGTATGGGAGTTGGGCCCACATTGGGAAGACTTGCACATGAAATATTATCATGCCCTTCAACATCAAACACTCAAATACAGCTAGACTTTCCCTTCTATGGCAGATCAATCAACTGCAGAACACAAACTTGAGCTCTCATCAGGGAGGAACAATATGTTCTAAATGGTTTATAAAGCTTTTGGCACACTTTGGACACCTAAGGACAGTTGTCCTGCAACTTTCTGGTCTGCAGTCCCCTTCAGTAAACCATATGCCACTTCCCCATGCCATCCACCTCTCTCAGTTCTGTAAACCATCCCTAGAACAAATGATCACCATGAACAGTTTATCCCACGCCATTTTAGGGGCTATATTTTTCATAGTAATTTTTGTGAGTGACTTAAAGATCAAGGGAGAGAAGATAGGGAGTAAGTGTAAAAGTAGGCTGCAATATACTTCCAATGGTGACCTACAAGCAAGAAGGCATATCATCAAGTAAACATATGACTGGAAAAAGAGGTAGGTCAGTCATGTAGCAAGACCTCAGAGTAACAAAATGTGCCTATGAAATGTCAAAAAAAAAAAAAAAAAGATGTAGGAGGAGGCAGGAATCGAGCAGATTGGGTAGAACCTCCATGGAAGATCTATGAGAGAACATGGAGAAAAACTGTACAGGTAGGAGAACACAGATGTGTTAGGACTTGTGCCAATAGAAGATGTGCTCACATGGATGACCTTACCAATCCATTAAAGTATTTTGATGATTTGTGTATTTTAAAGCTTAGCTTTAACTTTGAAATAAAATCTAGACCTGGGATCTCACTGGTGCAAGGGACTCCCAGTGTGGAAACTAATGCTACTCCTCACCCCCCAGCCCCCAGTAGATTAGCCACTTGCCTATAAACTCTACCGTTAGGGAGCCACCTACTGGCCCATGGAAACAAGTGATTTGTTTGTGCTCACACAGCTGGTATGAGTCAGAAACAGCACTTGACCCAGGTCTTCTTGACTCCATGGCCTACCTATTCACTATGCTGGGCTATCTCTTGAAGCAGAATATACACGTCACACAAAAATATGTGCCTTTTTAACAAGGACAATAAAAAACATATTTGTTTAAGCTGCAGTTTTGTGCCTGTGGACAAGCAATCCACAAGACCAGTCAGAAGAACCTGCAGGCCCCCCTCTTCAGAATCACTGAGGGGTCCCCTTGCTGAGGGCCCGACAGACCATTCCCACTGACCACATGTCCAATGTGTAATCTTACTGAGTATCTGTACTGCAACAACAGGCATTTCTGGGTCACCACAAACTGGGCTTTCTTGTTCTTCATCACCAGGTTCCCCAGTAACCGAGACAGAACTCTGGCCCTGAAAGAGACAGAAGAGCAGCTGACGGCACAGCAGCCATATGAGCTAATCTGCATCTCCGCACATGTGAAAGGGATACTGCTCCACACAAACTCAGAGCTGCCGGCTCCTCTAGCTATGAAGAAATAAATCGGACCCAAGGTGGAGCATGGTGGATTTACCAAGGGAGAGGTTCACCTGAGAGCTCTGGCCACACCACAGAAATCCCTCTGTCTAAAAGGAGCACCCTCACATCCACCATGGGACTCCCAGCCTTCCCACTCATTATGTTTTGGCCCAGGTATTCAGGAGAGGTCAGGAACAAATCCCCGTGCCAACAGCATTGCCTTTGTCAGCAAACTCGTGCTGGAGTGCAATGGCTGCCTCGGTCCTGTGCCTCAAAATCATTGGGCAAAAGGACAAGTATCAAGAAAAGATGACGATGGGGCAGCTAGGTGGCACAGTGGATAGAGCACTGGCCCTGGATTCAGGAGGACCTTAGTTCAAATCTGGCCTCAGACATATAATACTTCCTAGCTGTGTGACCCTGAGCAAGTCACTTAACCCTATTACCTAGATAAAGAAGAAAAGAAAGAAAGAAAAGATGATGTTGCTTTGCCATAAAAAACTCAAAGGATACAAACTGAGAGCTAGGAGCAACCTCAGAGATCATCTAACCCAGGCATGTCCAATTCAAATGGAAATGAGGGACACTGAAAACACACGTAAGGATCCTGTGGGCCACAAACTAAGAAAACCACTAATGAACATTATCTGTGTTTTGTGGTACTTTTATTTGTTTTATTAACTATTTCCCAATTACATTTCAATTTGGTTCTGGCAGCACAGTTCACAGGCCGATGTCCAACACCTCTGAACCAGACCAACTCCTTCATTTTACAGATGAGGAAATGAAGGCACAGAGAGGTTAAATGACTTGCCCAAGGTCACAGAGGTGGTGTCAGAGGCAGCATCTTTGTTAAGGCAAACAAAAAGCCCATTTACAAACAAGTATTTGCAGAAAAGAAACATCAACAAGAAAAATTAAGGTGGCTACTCCAGTGGATCCTATTATAATCACATGAGGAAAACTCTAAAGAAGCAAAAGAAGATACAATTAATATATCAGCCAAGTGAGTCAGAGCTCTTTCCCACTACTCTCTCTCTAATTTTTAAAGCAGTAGTAGGGATACAGGGAGAATGGCTAGAGCAATTCCCAATACCAGCAGAGTCTCCCAATGGCACCACTATCATCATGTGAAGGGTTTGGGCCGACGCTCTTCAACAAAATGATTCCTGGAGATGCTGGGATGGTGTTTTCATGATCTCTTACCCTGGGGCTTCTTGGATAAGTCCAGACACTACAGCTTCTATCCCCCGATCTGGCACACTTTCCACGAGACGCCAACTCAGCCTCTGCCAGATGCAGTCAGCCTGGGTGAGCTCTGTCAAGTGGGGTACCAACACTCCCAGAATCTCTTCTGAGGGGAAAACAGACAAAAAGACAAGTGACTGGCCTGCCAGGTTCCCAAGGAAGGGTCATCTAATGTGTATATAATTGAGTCAGGCCAGAAAAATAAAGTCCTTCCCAGGGACAGTGACTGTAAATCTTTCTTATATTTCAAAGGGAATTCAAAGTGAAGCAAGTTTCTAGGGACTCTTCTCCTTCAATCCTTCCTAACTTGGTCCACATATTGATCACAGAAAGGATGATATGAATCATAAAAATATGGAGTTCAAAGGGACCTTGGAAGCCATTTAGTGCAACCCTACCTGAAAGAGACACTGAGGCATAACCAATATGGCACTGGAGTCCAGGTCAGGGAGACCCTGAGGGTCTAATCCCACTCTTAGATACTAAGGAGCTGTGCAATCCCAAGCCGTCACTGAACTTCACAGTGTCTCAGTTTGCTCATCTACAAAATGAAGGGGCTGGACAAGATGACCCTGAAGGCCCCTTCCAGTTCTAAGTCTATGATTCTATGACCTATGACCAAGGATCCCCTCTACACCAATTGATCATCTTGCCCCCACATGAAGACTTCCAGTGATCATGGTCACAAGCAAAGATTCAAAAGTGAGGGTAGGCCATCAATGGGAAGCAAGCATGACATTTTTTAAAAGCACAAATTTTTAAAAAAATTATTAAAAGAAAAAAGTCCTCTTGTGAGAAGCCCTGCCTCCAGGGTCAGCCCAACCGACCTCTGGATAGCTCTAACTGTAAGGAAGTTTTTCCTTACAACGTGCTTCTCTGCAACTTCTAGCCTTGCTGATCCTAGTTATGTCCACCTGGACCGAGCAGAACAAGTGTGGCCCCTGTTCACCTGGCAGCCCTCCAAAGACCTGGAGACACCTCTCAGGTCCTCCTCCAGTCTTCTCTTCCTTAGGCTGAATAATCTCAGCTCCTTCCATCAAGTCTTGTATGGGTAAGATTTGAAACCTCCAGCCATCCTGGTCACTCTCCTTTGGATGAGCTCCAGCTCACCAAAGTCCTTCAACCGAGAACAAGCCTCCAAACATGGTCTGACCAGGGCTACGGGGCCCTGTAAGAGCCATGCAGAGGACAGCAGGACTATCACCCTTTGTACTCTGGATGCTATGCCTCTTAATTTAGCCAGGCCTGAAGTGCTTTTTTAGGTGACACATCACACTGCTGACTCATGTTGAGTTTACAGCCCAAGAAAACCGTAAATAGAAAAATGGCTAGATGAACAGATACAGAGATATATATAGATAGAAAAATAAAGCATTTATTAAGCCCTCTCTAGGTGCCAGGCACTATGCTAAACACTGGGAATGCAAATATAAGCAAACCAAAAGGTTCCTACCCTTAAGAAGCTTGCATTCTAATGGGGGAAGACAACACATAAAGGGGGAAATGGAAATCATGAGCAATGCAGCAGACGAAGAGGAGGAGGTTTCCAAGGAGACAGTCCAAGTATGAGTGAGGGAAAGCATGGTCAGGGTCCTTCCTAAAATGGTGGTCCAAGGGAAGGAGTCACTAGTAAGGAGAAGATGAGAATCCTCAGAATGCCAACGTGGCTGTCAAAGGGAAGCATGAGTATTCCATGGAAAGAATCTAGTTGTTGGTAAGGTGAAGCATAGCCGGGGTCCCTTCTACAACTATTTGTGGCTTCTCCTCTTGGCTCTATCACTAATTCGCTATATGGTTTCAGGCAAATAACTTCAAATCTGTGGACTTCAGTTTTTTATGTACAAATCAACAAATACTAATGAATGGTAATAAATGATGAGGACATCTATAAAAATGATATACTATATAATTAAATGTGTTCTGGCTTCCATGAAAGAAAGGGGAAAAAAGCACTTGATCTAAGTGAAGAAAAGAAAACTGGGTAGATAGTTTGGACTAGTGAAGTAGGTCAGAGGTTGAATTTGAGGAGAAGAAATATGGAAAAACTTGGGAGAAAGTGAGTAAAATTTAAAGGATAACAGTCTCCAAACCAGACGCTTGTTCCAATTCCTCTTCCTGGTAGAAAAAAAAGCAGGATCAAGGACAATGAAGGCAGCTTTAAAAGGATTAAAGAAAATTAAAGATTAAAAATCCTCCAGGACACCTCAAGAAGGAAAAGGAGAAGGTGGCTGGGGAATGGCTGAACAAATTACAATACACAAAATGTGATGGAATACTATTGTGCTGGAAGAAATGAGAAGTCTCAGAAAAACCAGGGAAGCCCTGTATAAACTGATGCAAAATGAAGTGAGCAGAACAATTTATACAATAACAGGAGAATAATTTATACAATAACAACAATATGTAAAGACAATCGACTTTGAAAGACTTAGTAATGCTGATCAACACAATGACCAACCATAGTTCCAAAGAACTCATGATGAAACATGTGTTTCACATCCAAATAAAGAGCTAATGGACTCAGATTGCAGATTAAAGCACATTTTCTTCTCTCCTTCTTTCTTTAATTTTTTTTGACATGGCCAATAAGGGAATTTATTATGTGTGGCTATACATATTTGTAATGGGTTTTGTTTTTCTTGCTTTCTCAATGGATGGGAGAGGAGAAAGGACATAATTCGTAACTGAAAATAAAACTGAATTTTTTTTAAAAATAGCTGTTATTACTATCCCCATTTTACAGATGAGGAAACTAAAGCAGACAGAGGGCAAATAAATTGCTCAGGGGTCGCACAGCAAGTAAGTGCCTAAGGTGAGATTCGAACCTAGGTCTTCCTGAATCCAGGTCCAGCACTTTATCCACTGTACTACTTAGTTCTCTCAAATCTCTAAATTCTAAAAGGAACCTAAAAAGTATTGCCAATAATTATGAAGTCTTGGGCAAGAAACTGAAGACCACAGGGGGCATGTTTATGTTTTCTTCAGTTGCTCACTGAAAGCAACAGATGTAAAAGAGAAAAATTAATTTAGGAAGTACACAGCTGGCTAAGAAAGTATTGTTTGAAATTGGGATTTGGACACCAATTTAAACTGTAAGAATAGCAGATTCCTGAGACAGAAATGGAGTATACCTAACAGAGGCTAGTAAAAACATATTTAACAGATGTCTTGCAAGGCTAATCAAAAGGGCTTTAAACTAAAAATGGAGGGGAGAGGAATAAGACTGCCTCTGTATATTCCCCAAGTTAGAGAACATAGAGAGTAGCAACCATGAATAAAAAATAGCAGTTGAGACACCCAAAAGTTTACAGGAGACAAAAACCAAGAAAGAAGCTAAAAGTAAAACCCATGGCCTCAAATACTGATATGCAGTGCCCAAAGTGTAGGCAACAAGCAAAAGAACTGGAAATTCTACCTGAAAAGAGGCAACTTTGACCTCTAGGTATCACTGAGACTTAGTGGGATGAAGCCCATGCCTGAACTACGACTTTAGGCAGGCATATCTTATTCAAAAGAAAACACGATACATAAAAGTGGGAAGGAGCAGCACTTTATCTTAAGAAAGTATACTCAAGTGATGAAATCCAGAAGCCAGAGTAGGGGAAGCACAATGAAGAATAACTGGGCAAAGGTCAACAGAGAGTGAAACAAAAATGATTTTGCCTTTGGAGTATACTACAGACCACCAAGACAGAAAGAAGAAACAGATGAGGAGTTTGGAAAACAGATCACAAGCGTGGCACATAGACATAACATGGCAATGACAGAGGACCTCAAATGCACAGGTAGCTGCTGGACCTAGTTCTCTCTCAAAAGCAGAGTGCCTAATAACTTGCTGACTTGTCTTAGTGATAATTTCATCCTTCAAAAGGTAGAAGGAAAAAGGGGAAATTTGAATCTGGAGGCGATTCTCACTAAGAGGAAAGACTTGCTTCTTGGTGCACAAGTGACTGGGAGCCTAGGAGGAAGTGATTACTCCCTCCTCTTGTTTGCCATAGAGAAGGAGAGGAAATCTGGGCATAGTCTGACATGCACCCTAAACTGTGGTATAGCAAAACAGGGAGGATCCCATGGACTAAAATTCTACAGGCAAAGTCAGCAGGAGGGATAAGAGATACTCAAGAATGAAATTCTAAAGAAACAAAGTGCAACAATTCCAATGAAGAGGAAAAATGAGATTTGTCTGAAAATACTGATGCAGATCCCCTAGAAATGTACAGAAGATGGAAGCTGGGCCAGGCCACAGAGAATGCCTAGAAGAGTATGGAAGTTCTATACAAAGTGTCAGGAGGGCCATTGCTCAGGATGAACTGTGGCTGGGGAAAGAAGCTAAGGACAACAAAATGGGGTAGAAGGGAGTGGTTTAAGCTATACTGGGAGAAAAAATAGGATAAAATAAGGGACAGACCCTTTGCTTGAATGGGACAGTGATAACTAACAACAGAGAGAAGATAGAACTGATCAGTTCTGACTATGCTTTTGTTTTCTCTGCCAAAGAATATGACCTTTGCACTGAATATGACAGAAGAAAAATAATTACCAGAAAGTCAATGCCCAAGATAAGTAAGGAAACAGTAAGACAGTACCAGTCACCTGGCCCATCCTCAAGGACTAAAAGAAAGTTCAGGCAGGATTACTTAGCCCCCATCAGTGACATGTGAAAGATCATGGAAAATGAAAGAACCACAACTTGACAAGGGCAAACATCATCCTGATTTTTTTTTTTTTTAAAAAGAGAGTCTACAAACTATAGGCCAGGGATTTTGATTCCTGGGAAAATTCTAAAACGAATTATTAAAGAGATAGTTAATGACCAACTAGAAGGAGAAGCACCAATTAAAAAGAGCTGCTTGGCTTCCTCAAGAACAGCTCATGCCAAACTAATAAGCTCATTTCTTTTTTGGACAGGATAACTAAACTAGTAGATGAGAGGAATGCTGTAGATAGTTTGCTTAGATTTTAGCAAAACTTTTGGTAAAATATTTCATATTATTCTTGTGAAGAGGATGAAGAGATACGAACTAGATAAAAATACAATTAAGTGACTCAAAGAATAGTTGATAGTGGCTCAGTGTCAGTTTGGTGGAAGGCCTCCAGAGGAGTGCCCCAGGGATCTATACTTGCTCTTGTGCTATTGATGATTTTATCGATGATTTGGATTAAGTCATAGATGACATGCTAATCCAATCTTCCTCTCACACAAAACTGGGAGGAACAGCTAACATCCCAGCTGGCAGGGCACAGCACTGGGCTGAACCTAATAACACAGAATGTAATAGGGATAAATGTAATGTCTAACACTTAGGTAGAAAAAAAAAATCAACATCAGAAGTACAAGATGGAGGAGGGATGGTTAGAAGGCAGTTGCTCTGAAAAAGACCTAGAGGTTTTAAAGAGCTGTGAGCTCAGGCAAGTCAGAATTGTGACGTGACAGCCAAAAAACCAAACTCTCTTGTAGGCTTCATTGTGAAGAAACAGGGAGGTGATGGTCCCACAGGACTCTGCCCTCATCAGATCTCAACTGGAGCACTGAGTTCAGTTCTAGCCATGGCAGCTTACAGAGACATTTATGAGCTCCACAGATTGATCAATGACCGGCTGTTGGGTATGTTACAACAGGGATTTCTTTCATGTACGATCTGGACTAGATGGATGCCCAGGTTCCCTCCAACTTTCAAATTCTGAGATCCCGTAACGCCTCCCTGCATAAAGGATGGACTCAAATAACAGACGCACAAGAGCTTCAACAAGCATAAATTACTAATATAAGTTGTTCCTGTCATCCAGATTACAAGATACTCACTTTGTCTCCCGTGGATGCAGACTTTTGCTAGTATTTGAGATAAAAAGCAGATGGAACAATCCGAGCCTCCTAGAGTAGGAAAAAAAATCCATAGAATTAAGGGAAATGAATATACTTAATAGCCACCCTGTCCCCACTGAACTCTCCTGCTGACCTAGATTTTCACTCATCCATTTACTCAACAAATATTTATGCGGTGCCTACTATGTACAAGGCCCTGCACCAGGCACTAACCAACAGTGGCAGCCACCTGAGAGACCCAAGAAACAGCTGTGAATAAATTACCAAGTAGGAAGTACAGCTCTGTGTTGTAGAGGTCACACATTTGGATATTCCCCTGCCTTCAGGGCACTTATGTTCTCCAGGGATATGCCCCTAAACCTGCATGGGGGTGGCAAGAAGAGCCTGGGAGTATGAGATCAAAGAAGGGCGAATCTCTCTGGCCCCCTACCAACCAGGAGCTGAAACAATGGCCTTTAAAGAAAAGCACTGCCAGGTTCATAGAGTTTTCCTCATCCACTTCTAGAATGTTCATTTACAAACACAGCAATATGCTTTCAAAAATGTAAGTTATTCTTTCCAACGTCAACATTTTATGAGTTATGGCAATGCAAAGGGGTGCCACAGGTCCATGCTGCTGCTGCTGGGGATGGCACTTCTATTTGCTTTAAGTTTTACAAAGCACTTTACAAATAGCATCTCAATTTATCCTAACAATGACCCAGGGCATAGGTGCTATTATTATCATTCCCTCTTTACAGATGAGGAAACTGAGGTGAACAGGGTTAAGTGACTCGACCAAGGTCACTCATCTAGTAAGTGTCTGAGGCCAGATTTGCACTCAGACCTTCCTGACTCAAGGTCCAGTGCTCTCTCCACTGAATCACCTAGTTGCCTCTACATAGAAAAAGAGAGTAACAGACCAAGTATTACAATCAATCAACAAGCAAGTATTTAAGCACCTCTTACATTCTAAGTACTATGTGAGGTGCTGGGGACACAACAACAAAAATGGAACATTCCCTGCCCCCCAGAAGCTTACATTCCTCTGGGGGAAGACAACATGCACACACAAGATAAACACCAGGCAAACCAGAGCACAAAGGCTCGCAGAGACAGCCCCACACCATGCAAACCTGACGCCTGACTGTGATAAAAGATGAAACCATCAACACCATACATCCCATACTTTGTACATTCTGCTCTCCCATCACACTGTGACTACGCTGTATGGTTTTGCAATCAGAAGCCCTGGATTCAAATCCAATCTCTACTGCTCACCACCTGTACGTGACATGGGGCAAATCACTCAGCCTCTTATTACCTGAGTGTCTTCAACCGTAAAAGGAGGGAACTGGACTAGATGACCTTCGGGGCTCTTTCCAGCTCTGGGCCTACGACTTTACGACTTCTGCAGAGTTCATTCAGTAAATGTTCATCAATAACGTTAACTACCAAAGGCATGCTAGGTAACATTTTCAAGAACCAGCCTGTAACAGCAAATACAGACTCATGGAAGCGGGCCACAGAAAAGAGAAAAGAAAGAATCTTACGGTAGAAGGCGACTTCTCGACCTAACAAGGAAGAACTGAGCTGGCTCTTTCCTGACCTGATGAATTCATCAAGTACTTACTAGTAAAGATGGAAGCCATGCTGTCCGAAGGTCAAAATCTAAGCAGCTCACACTTGGGGTGTTCACTATCTCTGCCCTGAGGAATGGAGGCTGGGAAAGATAAAGTTTCCCTAATAAATCTGGGAAGTTATTCTGGGAATCTATGAGACAGCTAGCTAGGTGGTGCAATGGATAGAGTGTCAGGCCTGAAGTCAGGAAGACTTACCCTCCTGAGTTCAAATCAGGCCACAGACACTTACTAGCTGTGTGACCCTAACCTCTGTCTCAGTTTCCCCTTCTGTAAAATGACCTGAATAAAGAAACAGCAAACCACTCCAGTATCCTTGCCAAGAAAAGCCCAAATGGGGTCATAATGAGTTGGACATGACTAAAATGACTGAACAACAAAAGAAAATCTGGACATACGGCTAAACAAATCCCAGCTGCCTTCTGCTGTTGCTGAATGGTTTGGGAGGAGGGAGATCCAATGGTCGTGCTCACCTCTGAGGGAGTCAGAGATCCTCTGGAGCACCTGGATCATCTCTTCACCAAGCAGAGGGAAGTAGTTCTGGGGGAAGAACAGGGACGGGCTTTGCTCTTTCATTTGGTTACTGAGGTGGTCAGGCAGACACACAACTTTGCTGAGAAGAGTCTCCTGGAGAAGGGATGAACCCCGGGGCACCTGCTGCTGACACATCTCCCACATCAGCTCTGCCAGTCTGCCCATCTTCAGGAACCTGGAGAGCACCTGGGCCATCTTCATCAGACGATAGCTCAGACTGTAATCAAAAGAGCAGTTGAAGGAAAGGCCATAATAAGGAGGCAGATGGTGACTACTGGCTACAGCATCTCTGAATCCAAGAGGCATGAGCTGGAAGTCACAACACAATCCTGAAAATCCTGAGCTTCTCTGGAAAATAGGATCTTTTTGTTAATGTTCTTTGGAATGGACCTATGATTTCATCAGTAAAGAACAGAGAGCCCCTGGATGAGGAAACTCCCAATGTGGATCTTCAACTGTTATGCAACATGTAGTCTTAAAGATGTGACTGGTATACTGAGAGGCTAAGTGACTTGCCTGGGGACATAGAGCCAGAAGGTCAAAGCCAGGGCTCAAATCCAGGTTGTATGAGGCCAGCTCTCAACGTGCTAAGCCACGCTACCCCCAGAAAGAGGCTGTCTACTTTAAACACAAAATAACTAGAAAAATCTGTGATTTCTAGGCATATCTTCTTTTACAGGACGGTATTGCTCTAGAAATATAATTTTGACTCAAGGGTAGATGGCTAGACTAGGATAGGCTCACAAGCAGTCTTCTAAAACTGGGTCATTTTACTGCCAACTCAAAGAGTCAGCTTTGTATGTAGCAGCCCAAAAGGCTAATGCGATCTCAGGCTGCACTAACAGAAGCAACAGTGTCTAAGTGAATGCAGATGACAGTCCCAGCACAGTGTCCCCTGGTCAGACCACTGTGACCGGTTTTGGGTGCCACATACTAGAAGTGACAATGAGCCAGGGCACAACCAGAATGGCAAGGAGTCTTAAAACTCACAGCAATATTGAAGAAACTGGGCAGGGGGCAGGGGTTTAGCCGGGAGAATAGGAGACCTAGCTGGGGGACATTATCCATATCTTCAAATTACTTAGTTTTTGTGGGCCAGAGGGTTTAAACTATGTCTGTTTGGCCTTGGAGGACAGAACTAAAAGCAATGGGTAGAAATTAAACGGAGAGAGATTTAGGCTCAATGTTAGATAGGTTTTCCTAAGAATTAGAGCTACTCAAAAATAGCATGGGCTGCCTCTCAAGGTAGTAAGTTCCCTATTACTGAAGGTCTTAAATTGGAGGCTAGATAACCATGGAGTAGGGATGTTACAGGTGGGATTCATGCTTTGGCACTTCTAAGCTCTCTTCCAAGTCTGAAATTCTGATAATTATTGAATTCCACAATGCTGGCAAATATTTCTGTTTGCAGGGAAAAAACAACTATCTACATTTTTCATAGTAGAGTAGAAAGACCTCTGGTCTTATAAGTCAAAAGGCCTGTGTTCAGGGTCTGATAGGAGACCCACAGATAAACCACAGAACCATATAGTGGAACCATAGGCAAACCACTTAACTCCTCAGCCTCAGTTTCCTCATTTGTAAAATGGAGATGATAATACTTGCACTATTTACTTCACAGGTTCCTGTGAAGAAAGTGCTTTGTAAACTGTGGTGTTTACACAGGGTTGTTGTTAAGTGCGACAAGAGTGGATAAAGCATAGGTCTTAGAAACAGAAAGATTTAAGTCCAACTACTGGTTTTTGTATCCCTAGGGTCCAGTATTCAAATCCCAGCTCGGTCACTTCTTTTGTGATCTGGAGCAAGCCACTTATCCTTTCTGGGCCTCATCTGTAAATGAAGAGTTTGTTCTAAAGTGCCTTTGAGACTCCATGTGACAATGGGTAAATAAATCACTTACCGACTCAGTGCCCCCAGCACTTCCCCAAGAATATAAATTATAGATGAGTTGCTGGTTCATACTGGTGGAGGGAGTTTCCAAATTGGGAAGTCCCTCAACACCAAAGAAATCACAGGTTCAGACCCATTTAAAAAAAAAAAAAAAAGGCACTATATAAATGGGAACTGCTTCAGGGCCAGATGGGTTGACAAGTGAATTCTGCCAGACATTTAAAGAACAATTAATTTCAATACTATATAAACTATTTGAAAAAATAGGCAAAGAAAGAGTCCTCTCAAGCTCCTTTTATGACACAAATATGGAGCTGATACCTAAACCAAGAAACAGAGAAAGAAAATTATAAACCAGTTTCCCTGATGAAGAGTTCTAGGTCTAAATAAATAAATAAATGTGAACTGCTATTAATAATTCTCCTCATAATCAATAATGAAGTAGACTACCCACTTCCTTACTGAGAAATAATGGACTATTTCCTTCAGTGAGTCGATGGACTCCCTCCTTCCTCCCCAATGTTGGGGAGAGGGGAGAGAAAAAGGATAAAAAATGGTTTTAAAATTAATTCTCCCGTGTGACCCTGGGCAAGTCACTTAACCCCAACTGCCTCACCCCCCAAAAAATTTAATTCTCCTCTGTTCTATTCTACCTAGTACTGCCCCACTCCATATATCTATGATACATGTAAATGTTTGAAAGAGGATAAGGCAGAAAGGGTACAATTTTACAAATACTAGATAAATGTTTATTAAATCAGGATGGCTGGTTATTCATAGAATTAAGATCAGTAAGTTGGTAACCCTTCATGTCTTACACTGTATATGTCATTGCTTGAACAAACCAAAAAAAATCTCTAAACACAAAATCCAGCTAATCATACTTACCCAACAGTAACAGTGATGGATTCCATCAAGACCAAAAAGGCTTGGTCAGCTGGACCTTCTAGAAAAAAACTATCCCATAGTTCCTCCAGTTGGCCAGCAGGTAGTAGGTCCAGCCAATCAGGGCTTAATTTGCTGACAAGACATCGAAGGAAGGTAGAAAAGTAGATCTTGGAAAATTCTTCCCTCTCTCTGGGTAAGACTGGGTTCTTCATTTCACTCAAGTAGATCCTCACAGACCTCAGGGCCTCAGATATTTGGACCCCATCCTTGGAAGATGAAAGAGTGTGGAGAGCTTCTTGTACAGTGTGGCGGACCTCGGAGAGTTCAGAATCCATTGTGTTCAGTATCAGAGCTGAAAAAACAAAGGAAAAAATATTAAAACCCAAACATTCAACAGTTCTAGTCATAATGAAAAGTAGTTAGGAATAAATATCACCTATAACATAAAACCATTATATTTTGGTTATTACCAAATTGATCTCTTAGAAGCCCCCTCCTTCTCTCCTTCACATATAAGTTATGTGAGCACATCACTTACATCAGGTCTCTACTGTCCCTCTCATCTATCTCTATTCTTGATGTTTTCCAATCTGGTTTCTTTCCCTTGACAAAGCCACAACCATTAAGAAACCACTTCATAATTAAGTCCTAAGGCTGTTTTCCCAACCAAATTATCTAGTGGCCTTTCTACTACTCTGACCCTCTTTATGCCCCTTTCCAATATGAAATATCAGAGAGCCTTCACTTGGTTCTTCTGACTTCTCCAAATGTTTATTTGCAGTTTGCTTTTTTTTTTTTAAACGATTCTTTCCCGCTATAAGTTTCACTAAATCATGGCACCTAGAGTTACAAGGGACCTCAGAGGTCCCCTAGTCCAAAATCTCTTTCCATGCAGGAAAGCCCTCTACAAGCTAACCTAACAGATAGCTATCCCTTAGTTTTAAACAGTGCTGAAAATTCTTTGAAAACAGGAATCTTGCATTCCTCTATCTACTATAACTGCTAACACAGTAGGGGGTACACAGCAGGTGCTCAATAAAGACCTGTTGAGTTAAAATGAGTGTGAGCAGTATATTTCACAAATCCTTTCCTTGTATTTTAAGAGGTCTAATGGAAGATCACATGGTAAATCTACAAAGTTAGATCTGTCATTTATCTGGAACTTTCTGCCCAATCCAATGAAGTTTCAGTTTGCAATAATCTCTTTAGCACTTTGCAGTTTACAAAATACTTAACAAACCCTAGCACCTAGTACAGTGCCAGGCACAAAGCACGCACTTAATAAATGTCTATTGATTGAACAAACTCCTAATGGGGAGAGTGTGGATGCAATCAATTCCCCAGCCTGACCCAACGAAAGAACACAAGACTAAAAGACAAGACCCAACATATGTAACTTTGGCCTTCTCTGGACCTCAGTTTCTTTTTCTGTAAAAGGAGGCAATTGGCCTTAGATGGTTTCTAAGAAGCTGGTCAGTCCACGGTGTGACAGAAAGGGCAATTGATTTGAAACTGGAAGATCTGTGCTGAAACCTGCTATTTACTACCTGTGTGGTCTCAGGCGGGTCACTCGACCCTTTTCTGGGCCTCAGCTCCTTATCTGTTTTATTCTCATGGGGCACTCTAAGCCCCTTCCGTAGTCCATTCGTTTGTGGGGGGGTTTTTTGTTTCGTTTTGTTTTTAAGGAAACTGAGGCCGTGAAAAAGAAACGACCTACCTAGGCTCGCGCGGTGAATCAGAGACAAGGCTGAGCCTCCTCAAAAAGAGCCCTTTGCCTTCCCCCAGAAAGCCGCCTGGGAAGGCCCACATACGTGGACGCTTCTCTCAGAGTCAGACTCGCACCAACCAAGTCGTGGATGAGGGTGATAAGTGCAGCACCACCCTCGCTCCCGCCGTGAGGAAAAGAGACAGGGACGGGGCGGAGCTTGGCCAACATCAGCCAATCAGTCACGGCGGGGCGCGCGGTCTGCGCCTACCCTCCACGGACCTTGGGCCAGAATCAGCCAATCAGTCGCTGGGTCCCGCCTCACAGCCCCTTAGCGTAACGACCGTCCCGGAAGCGTAAATACTCACCGTAAGCCCCGACTCGAGCTCCATTAAGTGCTAGATTTCACCCTTGGCCCATCGCCCTACTTCACCCCAAACGGTACTGACCAGCGAGTTCCCCCACCTATTCCCACACTGTCGGTCCCCCAGCAATCCTCCGCGCTCAACAGCGAGTCCCTGTGGCCACTTGCGCACCATCCGTCCTGGTCCCCGATTCGACACCATTCACCTCTGCCCCGCCCCTTGGTTTTACAATCGCGTCCGATTCCTTGTAATTCCTCAATACTGAATGGAACCTCTGAAATAAAATACAAATACAAAAGCAAAGGGAAAAAAAAATACTGAGTGGAACGGCTGGAGAAACTGGGTGTCTTTTTATTTTTTTTTCCCCTTGTCTCTTATTCCTTCTATGACGAATCAGCGGGTGGGTACACACGCCTCTTCCTAAGCGTTCGCGAGAACACGGGCGTGAATGTGGGGCTCGCGATATTAAGGTGGGGCTGCTCGTGCAGGGGAGCCTGACAGTCTCGTGTCACTCGATCGTAGCTGTCGGGGCGAGAAGGGGCTAAGGGATTAGTTCCCGTTATCTCGTGACGGGGGAGGGAAAGGAGAAAGACTGAGGCCCGAGTGACCGAGTCAAGTCCGGGTGGCAAGGGGCATTAGAAATCAATCTAATTCGACACCCCCAATTCGCAGAGAAGGAAACAGGCCCAGAGACAGCTAATCTGCTCCCAGGTGACACAGTAATTGAGTGGCAAAGCCAAGACCAGAACCCGGGTCTTGTTTCTATGGGTTTATACATTTTATTTTATATTTTCATCTCTTGTTTTTTATATCTGGGTATGCAAATGTACGTTTTCCAGAGCTATCTCTTGAAAAAGAAAGAAAAAAAACAATTTAACAAAACTAACAGGACTTAAAACATTTTAATCCTCGTCTATATTAGTTTATACAAATCAATTCTATGGAATGATAAAATCTGTAGGTAATTAAATGGATCTGCAATTTCATTGGTGTAGGGAAGAATATAACCTCATTGCTTTCTCATCCTATGTAATTTATATATATTTTTTGTCCTACATAAAAGATCTGCCCAATTTAACAGTGGTTTTCTGCTAGTTCATTTAATATCCTGTTATCTTTTATTCTCATTACGTAAGTCTACCCTCTTTGCTAATTTTATATGTATATTTTTGATCACTTTTATGCTACTTCTCATGCTCAAGCCATCATTAGTGACAGGTTGCTGCTTCCTTAGGCCCATCATTCATTCATTGCCTTTTGAGTTACTTGTAATTTTGATCCTTCCAAGACTGGTCTGGCATTCCATGTATCCATATAGCACCACAGGGAAAATATTGGTAAAAAATGCACTTTTGCAGCAGCATGCAGTTTGGAGTCATTGTGAAAGAACTGTAACTTTCCAAATGCTGTCCCACCTAATTTTATCCTTACATCTGATTCCAATTCACTGTCAATCAGTAGCACGCGTCCAAATTATTTATACAGAGTCCATGAACTTGCTCTTTAACTATTTTGATAACTGTTTCAATATAATTGAAACTTTTGCAATCCTGTTTTATGCATTTAAAAACATTATTCTGAAACCTCACCAAACTGCCAAAGGGATTCATGACAAAAGGGAATCATGAAGAAAAAACCTGCCAAACATAACTAGTATTTATCATCTCTAGAAGTCCTATTGTTAAAATATACTTGTGGTCTAAGTACTTGAGTGGGCCTGAGGAGCATCTGTATTCTTCATCCATTAGGATATTATTACAGTGAATTTAGAAAATTGGAGGGGCAGCTAGGTGGCACCATGGATAGAGCTCCGGCCTTGGAGTCAGGAGGACCTGAGTTCAGATTTGGCTTCAGACACATAACAGTCACTAGCCGTGCGACTCTACGCAAGTCACTTAATCCCATTGCCTCATTTAAAAAAAAAATTATAGTTGAGAGGCAAGAAGACTCTGTCTGGAAGTGCATAAGATATGAGACAGCCAGAGCAAAGGCAGATGGAGGAAGGATACATGTCAGCAACAAGGGAATGCACATGGAAGATATTAAATGGAATTAATGTAGGGAGAGAGGATCGCAAATTGAAAGCACCAATGGAGGTGCCATATTTTGGGAAGTGGGACCAGGAATGGGGGCACATAAGACCTAGGTTTTAGCTGTACATTCTTACAAGGCTTGGATTCATTGTTGCTAATCTATGTGCAATCAATGAGAAGTCAACACACAAGGACAGATTCACTCCTTTTGTGATATTTTGTTGTAGCTTGTTTTTCCCTTCTTTAAGCCTGCAGGGAGCTTATTCATCCTGCAAATTTAATTATCTGAGTGCAATACTTGAGTTGTCCACGCGGTGGTGCTACACTTAAACGACTAGCCTAGGCCTCTGTTGTCCTTGTTAATGCACAAGAGGGTAACCCTTTGTTGTTCAGTCATTTCAGTCACGTCCAACTCTTTGTGATCCCATTTGGGACTTTCTTGGCAAAGATACTGGAATGGCTTGCAATTTTCTTCTCCAACTCATTTTACAGATGAGAAAACTGGGGCAAACAGGGTTAAGTGACTTGCCCAGGGTCACATAGCTACTCAGAGTCTGAGACCAGATTTGACAGGAAGATGAGTTTTCCCTGACTCCAGGTCTGACACTCTATCCACTGCACCACCTAGCTGCCCCAACCATTTTATAATATGACCTATATTATAAGTCTGGACCCCCTCGTCAGCTCTCAGCCTGCAAAAATCTAAGCTCTACTCTCATCATGGCAACCTGTATTCAGCATTTGGCTCTGAGGCAACTTCAGTTAAAGCTTTGCTAGTTGCGTTCTGATGTCATGGTCCCCTTTAGCAGTCTTGTGAAGCCTATGGATCTCTTCTCAGAATAATGTTTTTAAACAATTGAAGAAAATGATAAATGTCAATTAGATGTTAGTAAAAATAAAGCTGTAACTTTTTTCCCATCCAAATTCATGGTCCCCTTGATGCCTACAGGGGTCCGTAGATCTGAGGTTTAGAATCCCTGATATAGAGGATGAAATAGAAGGTCACTCCAAACGTTAAAATGTGAACTTTGCTCACTATAGATATGGCTGAGCTCTCACACTGCAGTATTTTATTCTCTCAGATCATTTCTCAATGCATGCATAGATTTGGAGACCTAGCATACTATAATCACATAGTTTATTGTACAAAGAACAGAGGAGGCACTAGTTTACACCTTATTTTCAATAAAAGTACTACAAGCTCACTCTTAAAGACCTATAGTTTCAGAAATGTCCATTGCTGAACCCTGGAATAGAATGAATAACAAAATCTGAGTTCTAACTCAGAAGACAGAAGAAGCCAACTAGTCCAGTCCATACCTGACCAGTTATCCCCTCTTACCACAGCCACAACCAAGAGTTATTTAACCTGTTCTTGAAGACCTCAACTGGGGGGAAAACCACTCTTCTCCTAACTCTGCCTATTCTATTTTTGAATAATAGCTCTGATTTGTTGCACTTTTCTTTATATCAAGCCTGAATCTGCTTCCCAAAAACATTCATCCATCACTCCAGTTTCTGCCCTCAGAGCCAAGAATAAGTCTAATCACTGTTCCACATGAGAGACTTTCAAATACTCAAAGACTTTCAGGAGCTCCCTCCTGGCCCCCACCCCCAATCTTTTCCAACATATAGACATTATATTGCCAATTTTTTCAATCAACCATTGTAGGGAACTTTTCATCATCCTGGTCCCTCCTCTCTGGATATTCTCTGCATATTAATGTCCTTCCTAAAATGGTGTGCCCAAGGCAGATTACCTGTTAGTATGCTAGAAAGTGCTTCTCAAACTAAAATTCTAATTATCTGGCAATAATGAGAAATTGATTTTTCTAGATAGCAACCTATTCCCTTTAGGCAACAGAACTTTTAAAAAAAATTTTTTTAACTTTTGATGGAATTCTTTCTCAAATGTACTTTCTTTTTTAAAATTTATTTATTTATTTAGTAGTTTTCAACATTTGCTTTTATAAGATTTTTAGTTCCAAATTTGGCAAGCAATCTGATATAGGTTATACTTGTACAATCATATTAAGCATATTTCCACATTAGTCATGCTGTTGTTTTTTTTGGGGGGGTGACTTGCCTAGGGTCACACAGCTAACAAGTATCATGTATCTGAGGCTGGATTTGAACTCAGGTCCTCCTGACTCCAGGGCTGGTGCTCTATCTACTGCACCATCTAGCTGCCCCTAGTCATGTTGTGAAAGTCAGAACAAAAGGGAAAAACCACAAGAAAGAAAAAATAAAAAAGGTGAAAACAGTATGCATTCAGACTCCATAGCTAATAGCATTTTCCATCATGAGTCTTTAGGAATCATCTTAGATCATTGCATTGCCGCGAAGAGCCGAGTCTATCAAAGTTGATCATCACAAAATGTTGCTGTTATTGTGTACAATGTTCTCCAGGTTCTGTTCACTTCACTCAGCATCAATTCATGCAAGTCTTTCTAGGTTTTTCTGAAATCCACCTGCCCATCATTTCTTATAGCACAATAGTTCAAATGTACTCTCTAAAACTACAAAATTAGAACATAACATGATTTGTTGGTCACAAACACAAAACAAGCCATTTTGATGAACTGTTTTCAGGCAAAGTATTTGAGGGGAGGTTGTGTGTTTGTTGCAATGTGTCTTCTGTTTCAAAACTAAGTATGTCAATAAAATAAATGTATCTGACATTTCCTTCTTATGCTGAGTATGTTTAAAGCTTACATGTGCCGGCCGTGCCGTGCACTCTCCTCCTAAAAGGAGCAGGCTGTCAGGGTCATACTTACCAGCCTTCAGAGCCCACCCGGATAAACATAGAGACGAGCCGATCAGGAGGTGCAAACACTCAGACTTTATTCAGAGACCATCATAGCAAACCAGGCAGGAGAGCAGGAGCAGGAGCAAGAGAGTGAGCTCCGATCCCTACCGCCCCTTATATACCTTCCTAGCCCCTCCTCCTCAGTCCACCTTTTAGTGATTGGTTATAGGTCCAGATACCGGAAGGAGACGTCTGGGGTTAGTGCTGCACCAAGGGAAAGGACGTGACAAAGGAAGCTCGTTCTCTGCCATCCCACTCCCACGCGGCACAGCCCCCTGCCTCGGGAGCACAAGCTCCTGTTACTTCCCAATATCTTGTCCCTGCCCCAGTTCACCACAACTCCCACATGGCACAGCCCCCTGCCTTGGGAGCGTGAGCTCCGGTTACTTCCTAATATCTTGTTCCTACTCCACTTCACCATGTGGCCTGTAGCCAGCATCGGACGATCCCT